CGACATTGGCCAGCAGATGTAATTCAGAGGAGGCCTAATCTGTGGGATCTAATAGGTCTTTGGGAGGTGACTGGCAGGAGGCAGTCCAAGCAAGTTTTTCAGCATAATTAAAACAAGTACTTGTCCCAAAAAGATTTGTCTTGAAGGACATACAATCCAAAAATAAGAATCATATAAAGACAAAATCAGTATGCTTTCATTATGCATAAGATATGCTAAGGAGTTATAGAATAGACATGGCTAATACTGTAGTTATAATACAGTGGTAAGGTACCAGGCACAAATAAAATTCCTAATGAACTACTTAATTTATTGAGGAAATATCATCTGAATGTTTATGTTGTTCTAAGTTGCTCTTTTTTAATTTTTGTAGTAACACAAAATTTAATTCAATATTGTATAATTTGCACAGGGTTTTTTCATGTTCACATATTTTATAATAATTTTTATTTATTAAACAATTATACCACCCAACTTTCAACATCTCTGAATCAAAGAAATTACAATAAAATCCATTAAAACAAATAGATAAAAGATACAGCATTATGTCATAAAAAGTCTCACTCTCCCAAACACAGCACAGCGTTCAGGCCCTGGGACAGAACACTGACAGATATTTTAAGCAGTACCTCATAATATAAATAGGAAAGCAATTTCTGGTATGAGAGATTCAGTGACCGGTTCAGCAACAGAACGTAGATGAAATTAATACTATGAAGTTTTTTGGTTTTTTTTAAATCAAAAGTTAGCAGTTGCACAAAAATAATCCATCACTTATCATTAAGCAAACCTCAAATATCGATGCCCCTGTGAAACGACTCAGAGCAGCAAACTCTAAAATCAACGTTCCTGCACAAGCTGTACAAGTTTCAGTCTCTGTTCCTGTCCGGGCTTCTGGACTTCTTAGACCAAATTTTAAATTAATCTAGGGGGAAAAAAAAAGAAATGCTAAAATCTGTTATTGTGATAATGCTATTTCTTAAAAACTTAAGAAAATAAATTTGTTTTTTCAAACAAGACACAATAAGAAGACACTAGGTTTATGTACTATATTGCAGAAAAGCTGGAATAATTAAGTAAGCTGCAGAAGTTAGAAGCAGAGAATGTTCAGCACCATAAAATAATGCTCAACAACATCTGAGTGTGGCAAACCTGTGCAAACTGATTTAGTATGTAAGTTTAAATGTCAAAGCTGAAGTCACTGATGCTTTAAGTTTAAATGAAGCTATCGCTGTGTATATCACCTGCTAGAGAGAGAGCAGTCCTCATTTTCATAATCAAAACTTTTTAAAATCTATTGCTTTTGAAAATGTAGTAAATATAAATATATAAATATCTTTATAAATCATGCTATTAGTTGAAGAGTTAAGATTCTAAGAGCTATAAAAATCAGATGTTTCCTGATATCGCTAATAACTTCTCTCTGACTCAGAGGTGGGATCCTACCAGTTCGCACCTATTCGGTAGAACCGGTTCGTCAAATCTACCAAACCGGTTAGAAGAGGTTCCACCAGTGGACCCGGAAAGCAGGCCAC